TTAGTCTGTAATGTTGCTGTTTGAGCATAAAAAAGATCTGCAAAGTTACAACGCTCAAAGTCCACTTCAAAAGGAGATATTTTATTGAACAGAAATCCCTTTTCAAAAACTTTGATATCACAAATATCGACGAATGGAACGAGACCTGGTTGAGCTGCACTAGAGAAGGCAATGAGTGTTATCACTATGTCTGAGACACGCTAGCTTTCTCAAGGCAGACAAACTTAGAGTGGTTACAATCATCCGGGTTTAATTCGCGCTCAAATTGGTTTGATTTTGACCCAATATTTACACTGAAGCTGGCAGTATTGTTGGTAAGGGGCATGACATTTCCCCGACCAGGCGCCGAGTGGTGCCAATCACAACACACACTGGCCCAGCTAACCAATCACAGCACATTTCGTATTTCAGAAGGCGGGCCTTCATTTGATACAGGAACTATTCGAGCTGTTCATGCCAGACTGGGGAGAGAGGTGTTGTAATAATGTAAAATATGTGAAAAATAATGTGTTTTTTGAACCACCTAGTATGAGAGCCTGTTCTAGTACACCCCCAAAACAAAATCAAGACTTTGTAAAAGAGCATAATAGGACCCCTTTAAATATTTCTATATAGCTTTAGTACACTTTTACAGTACATTGGAGTTTTAGTTTAGTACTTGCCAAGGCAACATTTCTAATCCTAATTCTAATATTTCAGCTTTATTTCAATGAACAAAAATAGTTTTGTAATAGTTTTAGTTTTAGATAACAATACTGCAATGACACTGGTTCTGTGCAGAGAGCTGGTGCTCATCCATACCTCGGCTGCACTGTTATGATTCTCACTTTCTGTCAGCCTATAATGGCTGCGTTCAGACCAGCTCCAGATTCCTCACGGTAATGACTCCTCAGTTTACTTGAATATAACACAACTTGAACATATAACTTAACACAGGACAATCATTTCTTTTTCTCAGGCGATGGATTTTCAACTGGTTGCACTGGGGTGTTGGAAATGCTGCTGAGATTATAGCCGGTGAATTTGCTCTTTGTATTTTTGCAATTTCTATCAGTAATATCACATTGAAAACATTTTTTTTAAATGTCAAGTAACTTTATTATTATTATTATTATTTCAGTGGTTTCCATGTTTTTTGGAATAAGGCAACAGTCTCTTTTGCTGCCTTATCCTTGGACCACAGGGGTTCTCTCTGCTTTTGTGGTTTGGACCATTGTGTTAAAGCTGGTGTTAAAACTTCATAAGCATGATGTTATTAGAAAGGGTTTGTATGTAACTCATTCTTATTTTTAATTCATTTGAAAGACAGCAAAAGCAGTTTAACCTCATTTAACTGTATTTTAATTTTATTTGTTTAAAAGTTTTTGGTTCATAAGTTACAAGTTCCCATCTGATTCAGCTGGGAGTACACGGTGCCTATTGAGTCACGTTCTCTCTGCCTGTGGTTCAGACATAAATTGCAAGATGATTCAAACTGAGAGTGAAATGAAGCAAAATAAGTTGTTCAAAATAATATATTTGTATGTTTAGCAATTTCTCTCGTTTCAGCAGGGAGTGGAAAGGAAGATGAACTTCCAGTTCTCTCAGACATTTCAGAGGATGTTACTTGGGTAAGTTATTACACTTTACTCAAACATAATGGTGGAGATGAAAACACTAAAGGAACAGTTCACCGACAAATGAAAAATTGGCTAAAATTGACTTACACTCAAGCCATCCAAGAATTAGATGAGTTTGTTCTTCATCTGAATAGATTTGGAGAAATGTAGCATTACATCACTTGCTCACCAATAGATCCTCTGCAGTGAATGGGTGCCGTCCAAACAGCTGATAAAAACATCACTATAATCCGTAAGTAATGATTCCAGTCCATCAATTACTGTCCTGCGAAGCAATAACCTGTGAGTTTGTAAGAAAGAAATCCAACATTGAGGCATTTTATCTTTATTCTGTCATTTCTGGCCAAAATACCAGTCCATAATCCATAATAATGTCCATCCACTCAAAATCCATCAACATGTTTGTTTAGAATTGTTTTGGACTGTTTTCACTTCTAAATGGTGCTTGATTTATGCATATTTCTCTCCTGCTTGAGACTAGATGACTTTTTCACTGAAGAAAGCAATATTATGGATAGAGCACTCATATTTTATCTGAAAGCAACAATTTGAAGTTAAAAACATCTTATTGATATATTTGTTTCTTACAAGCATACAGCTTTCAGTTCACAAGATGTTAATTTTATGGACTGGACACTGGAGTCATGAGTATTACCTGTGGATTATTGTGATGTTTTTATCAGCTGATTAGACTTTCACTGTGACGGCACCCATTCACTGCAGAAGATCCATTGATAGGCATATGATGTAATGCTAAATTTATCCAAATTTCTTCCAACAAAGCAACAAACTCACCTACTGTATATACAGTATAAATAAATTTTCAGCAAATATTTTATTTTTGGGGTGGATTGTTCCTTTAATATTAATCATAAAACAAATTAGGTATTGCAATACGCACAACAAACACTTACCATCAAGGCCTACAGTAAGGCTCAAAATGAAGCATGTACATAATGTTCTTCTAAGCATCTTAACCAAATGCTCTTATTTTTGCTTCAACAGGATACTAAGTTTAGAGTGGCTGTCCTTGCTGTTTTTGTGCTCGGAAACTCAGCATTCTGTATCTCACTGCTCGCCTCCATAGGGGACATATAACCAACATATGAGTCATATGGCACTACAGAAATTGGAATGAAGACCTAATTATTTATAGAGCAAGACAAGTCATTATCAGTTTCATTTTATTCAAGGTTTGAACAGTATTTTGCATTGAAAACATCCTGCAAGGAAGAAACATATCTATTAAGACATTTCAAACATGAATATTATGAATTAAATTTCACACATCTTTTAAATTATTTTCACAGAAGAATAAATGTTCACATTATATCCAGACAATCAAAGCATAAAACATTTAAAAGGCTCACAATGTAATTATTGTACAGAAGCCAGCTACTTTTCTTCTAACACCTCTGGAAGCTACATCCACAATATACTCTGTTAGACATTCCAAGCAGCGGCCTTCTCTGGTCTTAAATTGCACTTTTGATCAGATTAAATCAAAGACAAATGTATTTTTATTTGCTTCTGCTCTTCACTGTATGGTTAATATAACATGTTATGTAATGTGAAATTAGAATAATACATTTCTCAATGTTTGGCATCATTTTTGTACATAGTGCAATTTAGGATTACATTACTGTATAAATTCTTCTTCTGCAATAATATAAAAGTGTTTCCAGGATAAAATTCAGAGTGAAAATACTAGCATTCAATTTTTTTTTAAAAGGTATGACATCAGTTGTTCATATTTTTACTCACCTATTAAGTTCTAGGTTTGTATTAGTATTGAATGTTTTACTCTAAATCTACTTGCACATGCTTATACTGTAATGGAAACTTGATTTGTGCTTCAATGCGTCATATAGGCAAATCACTCAGTCTTGTTGCTGATGATTGGCAAAGATACCTGCCTCCCACCTCTGGGCCAGGGCACTTTTCCGTCTGACTCGAGGGTAAGGTCCCTCAGGGAACTAAAGGAGAAAGCTTCACCTGTAAAACTGCATGCAGTTTCCAGTTTCAAGGTGAAATGGGCACAGATCAATGAGATGTCAAACACGTGCGAATGAAAAACAGAAAGATACACTGCAATGGAATTCATGACAGTTAAATATGATTCATGAGAGGATAAACAGAAAAATATGTGCAGCTCAAAAATCTGTAACTTTAAATTATAGCATGCCTAAATTTAATGTACCTTGTGGTCGCAAGACAAAGCGGAGCGATCTATTTTGCGTGTCTTTGATGGAGATGAGGGGGATGACTTGGATTTTGCTGGCACCTCTCCTGTAAAGTTTCCAAATAAAAGAAAGGACATTTACTGAACTACATCTTTATGTAATGACATAAATGAAGTAAATGCTCTAATGCAGGGATGTCCAATCCTGCTCCTGTAGGCCCCTGTCCTGCAGTTTTGCTCCAACCCCAATTAAACACACATGAACCAGCTAATCAAGGTCTTACTAGGCATACTAGAAACTTCCAGGCAGGTGTGTTGAGGCAAGTTGGAGCTAAACTCTGCAGGACAGTGGCCCTCCAGGACCGAGTTTGGACACCCCTGCTCTAATAGTTGCTAAATGTGGTACCTGGTTTCTCATAAGTGAAATTCTGCAGTTGGCTGGGGGACACGAGGACTGTGTCGTATCTCTCCTTTACATAGAGTTGTGCTCTCTGCCTTCTAAGCTCCTCTTCTCTTTGCCTCACCAGCTTGATCTCCTGATCCACCAGAGACTGAGTGCTGTGGGAGCGCAGTTTGAAGAAGGGGTTGTTCTGAAAGGTGCTCTCTTGTGTCTCTTGACATGCAGAGCTCAGGCAGAATTCCGAGGCACTTCGAATGATGAGATTTGATGTCTCCAGGATAATGACATTATTCATGTCTGATGGCCATTCTTGGAAGCTGCTCGTCCCTGGAGAAAGCATCCCACCTTTTCCTTGGCTCGGTGGGCTGGTGGGGTATGAATCCGGCTCAAGTATAATGACATTGTTGGCGGTCATTTCATGGTATGTGGGACTTCTTCCAGATGTAGCAGTGATGGACAAAGTTGGAGTCTTTGCACTAGGAGACCTCTGAGATCTGCATCTGTCCTCTGGAGTGTCAAACATCCTTCCTTTATCTCCAGGCTCTGACCTGCTGTTTTGAAGAACACCAGGCCTAGATTTAACTTGCATAGTGTCTTCAGCAGACATCTTTGCCCTTGCTCTTTCTCGTCTGAAATTCTCCTCTCGCTCGAGAGCTTCACGGATCTCCCTCTCCACTGGAGTTTCTGGCTCATCATAAGGAGACCTGTAGCTTGTGTCATCTAGACCAGAGTCCTCTGAACAGGGGCTGAATTGAGTGTACTGGTAATCCCCCAGACCAAGACTCTCAATGTCAGGGTCTCTTCTGGGGCGATCAATGTTGCGGACAGGCGTGTACATGAAGCTGTGTCCACCCTGGCAAGATGCCTGCCTCATCACTGGCTGGTGCACCAGACCCTTTGTTTGCTCTTCCATCTTTTGCCACTGCTTGCGAGCCACCCTAAAATCCAGATGCTCCGTGCTGACATTCTCGCTCTTTATTTCCTGAACCACGCAGAAGTCTTTTGGCAACTTTTTGTCAAGCTCTGAAGTTGAACAAGACAGGCGCTGAAGGTTGTGCTTTGAGGTTTTACCAAGCTCTTCCTCATCCTCTGCAATCTTTGTTAGACTACAGTAATGGGCAGAGGACTCCAAAGAAATATCTTGCAGCTCACATTCAGTGGGACACTCTGGTTGTTCTAGAATCTCACTTTCATTAATGTTCAAAGCCAGAGCTTCTTCTTCAAGTTCAGCATTGCTATCAATCACCTCATTGTCTTCTTGCCTTGCTTGGTCTTCCGAGTTTATCTCTGCTTCATCCATACCCAAGAGATCACTGTTCTCTTCAACCTCTTCTTTATCAACAGCTGATGGAGCTAAAGACCTCCATGGCTCCTCAGCATCACTGTCTGATGAAATAATGGCCATCTCCACCAGCAGACAGTCACTTAGGTCATCTCGATCCATATCCGGACAAGATTCAGATGGGAATTCAGAAATCACCAGCTCATTCATTTGCTGCTCCAGCACAGATTTTTCTTGTGCTTCCAACACAGATTCATCTCGTTCTTCCCGCACAGATTCTTCTTGTATTTCCAGCACAGATTCTTCTTGTTCTTCCAGCACAGATTCTTCTCGTTCTTCCAGCTCAGTTTCTTCTTGTGCTTCCCGCATAGATTCTTCTTGTATTTCCAGCACAGATTCTTCTCGTTCTTCCAGCTCAGTTTGTTCTTGTGCTTCCAGAACAGAATTGTCTTGTGCTTCCACACTCTCTTCAGGTTCATCATGTTTTTCCTCCTGGGCATCATCCAAATTGTTGATTTCCATTTCTTCTTCTGGTTTGTCATTCACGAGAGGGTCTTCATTAGACTCAAAGGCCAAAGATTCTCTGCTGTCTGGGTCATCTTGCTCGTTGACCTTGACCAGAATGCCTTCTTGAGAGTATTTGCTTCCATCAGATTCACCGGAGCTATCACATTCATTAGTTATGGCTTTGTTTTCTTGCCCACCCAGATCTTCTTGTGGGTTGCTCTGTTTGGTATCCAGGCACTCTGAGAAATATGTGACAAAACATTCATTTACCTCCTCAGTGAATTGGCATGTCTGGTCCTCTGTAAACCCAGGATCCATTTTACAGTCTGTTAGATCAGCCATTTCTGAAAGCTGGCTGGTCTCCATAGTGACTGTTTCAGAGAGGTATTCTTGCTCTTTTTGTTGCTGATTTACAGTGGTGCTTTTGCCGTCATTTAGTTCACTTCCATATGACCTTCGCACACCAGCTGTGGCTCTCTATGGAAGTTACATCGAAAAGAGCTGTTTAGAATTAAAGGAACACCAAGCTTAGCAATACTAAAATCATTGAACATGTCAAACACTAACAATATTTTTTTCCTAGTCTTGCTCCTTGAAAAGTTCAGGATGCAATTCGTATAGACAACACTGAGCAAGAAGAACCAGCCTTGTGCTGTTTCTAGTGGCACTGTAGTGTCAGTGATCAAGCTATTCTTGTATTCATGCTGTGCGATAGAAGTGGGAGGACCTCTTTGATAGCAAATAACCATGAGAAGTGGTTTCTAACAGCATGCAATCTCAAAGTGGGCTGAAAATCTACATTAAAGCATGTTTTAGAAGCCTAAAAGAAATTCAGAGCCACAAAATATGTGGCTTCTAGAGAACACAGAATTCTTCTTCAATTTTACCTCTGAGTAGGTTAATGTAATTTCAAATAAAAGCTATAATATGCTGATGAATTTTGGGTTCAATTGATTCAGTTCAACTGGGTTTAATAAGGGAGAACTCTAGGAATAGTCTGAAAATCCCTGCTCTAATATAAATCAAAAACATATATGGCAAGTTGTGATCACAAAACTTCCTAAGCTTAAACAAAGTGAAGGGGAGCACTTCTGAGGGAGTACACTTCATTCTTGAAAGTACTATTAATCCAAAATCTAATTACATGACTGCATTTAGTTACAATAACTAATTAAATCATTTTAAATTTCTGTTTTATCATTTATCACTTAGCAGTTTGCTGTCCCCTTCTCTGTGCTGCCTCAGTGTTTTCACCCATAAAATATAAAGCTTACAGTATGTGGATGATCATAATGCCATTTCATATGATACTGTCATTGTCATAATTTATTGGCATGATATGATTTCAGTCTGTTTTGCGTTTTTTCCCCCTGAAAAGTAATGGTTGCTTGGCAACATGCTGGATCTGAGGAGGCTGTCCTGTTTATGAGCCATGTAGAAGCAGCTCACTAGTCAGAGCCAACCTTATCAAAGTGCCATGCCGTAGGTTTATTATGGCTATCAGCCTGAGTTTATCCAGTGAGAGAGAAAGAAACACATCTATTGCTCATATCGAGCAGTTGGGATGTTCTTTTATGCATGCCTGCTGGTGCTGTGACCACCATTAACCCCAGACCCATCCTGCCTGTTTTGAAAAATACATTTCTGATGTCTGAACATGACAGTACATCCACTTTGCCAGAGGTGTAATCATGCAGAGCGCAAAATGATGTAATCAGATATTATCCAATAAGTATGACTGTTACATTAAAGGGATAGTTCACCGGGAAAAAAATGTGTTAGGGACTAACAGCCTCATTTACTTGCAATGCATCTTGTTTCTATTCAGTAAAAGTGAATGATGACTGATATCATTTTGCCTAAAATCTCTTTTTGTTTTCCACAGAACGTAATATGGGTTTGCTTTTGATGCGAAGGTGAATTGTCCCTTCAAGTCTAACTTCTCTCAAGTAAATGACACTGAAGTGACTTTGATTAGTGAAAATCGGAGTGTGTGTTTGTATCACTGCAGCACTGACACTGCAAGCAGATAAAATGCATTACCAATCAATCACGAAATGTCGGATGGAGACAACGCAGCATCACAACTCTTTTTAAATACACTGCACACAACAGTACAAATGCAGCACACAGAATTCCTGCATCATTCCCTCTCCGTGCCTTGCGCATGCAGATGTTCGCTCAAGCAGATACGGATGCAACAGATGCACAAAGCTTCAGTATTTTCATACCTACCAGCAGCTTTAAAAACAGGAGCCAAACGGATATCATCTCCAATCTACCGCAATACGCACATGCCTGTATAATTTGTACAGATAACGCGAGTAACCAAATGGCGACGCGTCGGGAGTAATTCATATGGTTCAACTCGAAGAGGGAAAATCAAGCTCGCGACAAACTCCTGTTCAGACCTATCGATCCTTCAGCGATTGTCAGAGCGGTGAAATAGAGCAGATAGAACAGATATTGACAGAAACGGCCGCAACTGAATGTCTGAGCCCCGCCAGCACTGGTTGCACTGAGCTACAGAGCCGCTCTGTCCCTCTGGGCGCCCACACTTTCCTCAACCAACGATTGAACGCGTTGCTTTGCCCACGCGATTTTGAACATAGAGTCCATAATTCTGACCACGGTCAATCTCGCTTTGCAACATTATCCTCACGTTTATATGTGTAGTATAAAGGACGAAAAATATTTAGTTTATATTTTAATACTTGATTCTGATTGGCTAATATCGGCATCCAGTGTCACAGTCTTTTTGAATAATGATGTTTCAACGCGGTACAGACCGCTCATCCGGGAAACCTACTGAGCAATCGGTTTATTTATTTAGGCTATTTAACTAATGAATTTACTTATATATTTATCTAAAACTATTAGCAATCAGTTGTATATTATATGTTTAAAATAAAGAGCTTGATCGCTGCAAAGGTTAATTTTGTGATTATATGTCCATCTGAATGTATTTACTGTATCAGTATTTTAAATAAAAAATGTAAATAAAGCGTGAATATGCATTTATATGTGCTTTTTCAGAAAATAAAAGAAAACATCTCTCTGGAGCAATCCGCTTTTGTACTTATAAATCCTCAGCCTTTTCCCCCAGCTATGAATCCTCTGTGCTGACATAGACAAATCTCTTACATTTGGTTTTGGAAAAATAAAGTTATATGATGCAGTTGTATGTTGATTGATTGATTGACTGATTGATTGATTGATTGATTGATTAAAAAAAATACCCATCTCTATGGACAAAACCTATCCTCCATTAATAATGACAATGACTCAGACTAAGCCGAATCAGTCCTGGTGTATCATCATGTTTTCCAGGAATAACCCAGAAATCTGTATTACTCACCTGCCACATCTGTTCAATTGCAGTGATGTCAGCTGTGATGCAAACACTATTTATTGTGTAATGCCACATTCTAACTTCATATGTTTACTTGTATTTTTAAAATAACGCCAAGAGTAGCAAGGTTTAATTGTTACAGTGACATAATTTATTTATTGATTGATTTTTTTTTAAATCAAACTTATCCTGGTCCTTAGACCATTTACCTATTATTAATATCCATCTTGGGTGATCTGATTGTAAAATTGACAAATGTAAAGATCCAGAGAATCTTGCAAATAAATTGAAATCGTCTTTGGATGTGTCAGGGAATGAGGCAAAGCTTTATTCCAGAATATGCAGTTCCAATCTGCTTGCAGAACAACATGGTAAAAATAACGACAGTAAGTTTGGTGAAGGATATTCTGTCTGTTTGCTGCCTGTGATACTGGCTCAGGCTCTGCGTGTTTTTTTCCTTTCTTCTTTTTCCTAAGTCTTCAGTGTTTTTGTAGCTACCATCCCACACGCTTGACAGAAAAGCAGCATGAATACGCTCCAACAAATTGAAAATGTAACACCAAAAAAGGCATCGTCTTTCTCTCCTCCCTGTCTTTTCTCCTTAAGACCTTCCCACCACAATACACAAACTGCCAAAACTCTTAAGTGTAAATCTGACCCATTTTTAAACTCTCTAAAATATTTCTCACCAGATGCAGGTGCACAGTGACTCATCTTTCTGTCCAGAGACTGACAGATGTGTCACATATTCCATAGACATCAATAGAAAAGTTTGGAATATACTTACTGTCAGTGATGGAGCTTTGAGGTCGGCTGGTTTAACAGTGAAGGTCTCTTCCTCTGAGTGCATGTGTGTTAGTGTGTGTGACACAAGCCACAGCTCTGATTGAATGCGTGGGAATCGACCAATGGCAGCACAGTTCCTCCACTTACAGACACGACAAGCTCCAGCTCTCACACACACAGGCACATAGGGAAAGGAGAATATACCTAAAAATACATTTGCACACAATCCTCACTGCTCTGAAAAGAAAAAAAGAAAAAAAAAAAAACTCACACCGGACGTCTGTTATCAGACAGTTTGCTGTAAGTCACCAGTGCACAGAATCAAATGAGGCGCAGTGTATTAAAGGATCAGCTTTAATCTGATTTATTCTATTATTTATTTTTTTTCCACATCGCTCGACTATCAGTTTTGCAGTGACCAAATACAACATTATAGAGTGCTTATTCATCAAAAAAGTCCAATATTTCTGTTTTTGTAAAAGGGACAGTTCACCCAAAAAGGGTAGATTCTGTCATTATTTACTGACTCTTATGTTGTAAAAAAAAAAACTTTTTTTGGTCTGTGAAATACAAAAGTATATTTAACAGATTTTCCAAGCTGCTCTTTTCCATATAATGAGAATAAATGGTAACTACGACCATCCCCCTTGTAAAAAAGTAATACATTTAAAATACATTTATTTCATGTGAAGTATAGTTAAAATCTATTAACATATTTACTGACGTATCACTCGAGATTTACTGATATAAAAATTATAATTCAACTGTATTGAGTACTACTCGTGCTCAATGCACATTTCTTATTATGAAGCCTAAAATGTGTTTTAATGTCAGTATTGATGTGGATTGTATGATCTTTGAATAATATTGGTCTTTACATGCGCCAGTCGCATACCATACTAAAAGCACATAAATATGTAAATGTATCTGTAGTACACTTAGCATGAAATAAATGTATTTCAAATACATTTTAGAATATTTATTTTTAACTAGGGCCTTGTCCCAATCTACTTTCATCAGAAATGTCAAATAGTTATCGTTAAAAATGTAATTCAATAAACGAATAAAAAATAAATAAAATCTAATCAAAATTAAAAATATAAGCTAAATTTATTATTTTTTTGCTTCACAGAAGAGAGAAAGTCATATGAGTTTAAAAAATGAGGCTGAAAAAGTGATAATTTTCATATTGAGTGAAATATCTCTTTAATATGTGTTAGTTGTTTTAATAAAGGCACCACTTATTTTATTTAATATTAATAACATTATCAAATAAGGACTCACAAAGATGACCTTGACATGGGTATCTGATAAAAAAGAACATTCAAAAACCAAAGACAGACCGATTCTTTCTTTAGCACAGATAATAGAGATGTCTGCAACAGCTGTCAGCCACATACACACACCCCATGAGGATTGATTGTCATTGTGGGTGTTCCTCTACAAGGAGAACACTTCTGAAAGGATGTCTCGTACAGTATTTTGACATATAACAGCAATATTTTCCTTTTTTGGAGGTTCAGTCTTATAGCTCTCATGTATAGCTTTCAGAAAATTTGCTGTCTCAATTCAAAAGCTGCGGCCTCCAGAGTTCACATTTGTCGGCCCGAAAACGTCATTTAGGCCATCTCATTTAGGAAAAGTAACCATTACACTGCAGAGTATGAAATAAATTACAGTAATTTATGCCTCACAAGGAACAACAGTTAATTTTATAATGGTTAATTTTCTTAAATGAGATGTCCTCAGTGATGAATGTGGCCAACAAATGCAACCTCCATAAGGCACAGCCTTCAAAATAAAACATAGCTACTGAGTTTATTGACAAGTAATTTCAAACATTAATCAGTGTCATAGCTTACAGCAGAAATGTGTGTGTTGTATTTATTTCAAGCACTATTGTCATTAAAATTGTACGTAAATTGTGTATAGGAATAAATGAAAGTTAGAATTGAAATATTTTCTCAAAAAGTGTTAATAACACATTCTCATTTCACTTTCAGAAGACTCCGCTGAGATGTTGGTTCACGTTTCTTGTCTCGCTGGCCGCTCTGGACAATCATGCAACAGTTTCAGAGTTCCCAGAATGTGAGTTACACAAAATGTGCGTGTTACGCAGTTTGGCCCAGTTTCTCCATCTGTATCTGCAATGCTGTAGGGCGCATGAGAGAAAATACATTGATTTAGCAGCTCAATTCTATCCTCCCAAACCAAACACAAGTTAATGGACACACCAGATCCAGCACCAGTAGCTTTTCACTGATGGCTCTCAGAAGCGTTCCACCGCCTCAACGTTTAATCTTTTTGTGCAGTTTAAGTAAAGGGTAAACTTAATAAACTCCAGCTGTGAAGACATTAGAAACAAGCTATCCCCATTTATATAATCACCAAGATCGATTATATAAGAGTGTTTCAGCACACGACCCAGCCTTCTTAAAAGGCTTCTGGATTGTGTATTCTACAATGAAGAGATGACAGAGAGGGGGTCATGTGTGGGAGTGTGTCCACCATTCTTTAGATAAAGCATGCTGTTATATTACATCATTCATATTGAGTCAATAGCAGCAAAATACTGTCATAATGGCTAAGTTAGTGTGGTGTCAAATGTGAGTCATTTATCTTTTCATCCAACATTTGTGTGGGTGGTGACGTCGTAATCAGTCTGTTTTTCAGCATTAAAGGAATAGATCACTAAAAAATGAATATTCTGTCATTTACTCATGACTTTCAAAATCTGTGTGCTGTTACATTTCCTGTGGAACACAAAATAACTTTTCAAAACACTTTCATGCAGCTCTTACAATATAACAACTGTTATAGTGACAATGGCTGTCAAGCTCCTTTTGTGTTCCATGGAAATAATAACATTATATTGTTAGCTAAACTTTAAAAGTGACTTTGTTAATTGAAATAAAGCTGAAATAAATTTTTATATAAATATTAGGTGAAAAACCTTAAACTCACACTTGGATTGGCAACTGAAAAAATATAAGATGAGCTGAAATACTATGCTAAAATGACTAAAACTGAAATAAATATAAAAAAGACACAAGCACATTTAATGACTAATAGCTTAATTTCAATGGGAAAAAAATAAATGATCTAAATTCATTATATTAATAAATGTTATAATAGTATATAAAATAAATAATACTAAAATAATACCTATTAATAAACATTTTTGGGTGAACTATCCTTTAAACATAACTTATCAGAATATAAAAAAAGAAAAAAAAAATGAAGACTCATTCAATCAGTTTTATTAAAAAGGTTAATCTGTCACGCTTTTCACAAAACATTCATATACACAAAGTCAAAGCAAAAAGAAAGAGGATGCTTGACAAAAGAAGCACAGTCTATGACAGCAAGCATGGCTGTAC